CTGCCCATATTGCAGATAATAACCTAGGGAAACTTTCTAGAAATTAGAATGTTCCCTTCACTGAAATATCAAAGAAGCCAAGTGTTAAGAGGCTGAATGAGGAGTAACTGCCTCTGTCTCTGGATTCTACGTTTGGAGACCTCAGAGTGTCACCCAAAAAGGTCCTCCATGGTGTGATTCTACGTAAGTAGAATGCATGTCATCAACACAAAGTAATTCACTAGGGAAATTTTCATGTTCTAAGCATCACTATGTAGTTTCCAAATAGTAACCAACCATCTGATTTTGTTATTGATGGAAAACTGTAGTATTGTGACATTTGAAAATGTGTAAGGCTTAAATAGATCTGATACTAAGCCTTATGGTCTTAAGTTTCATGAGTCATCTTCTGTTAGAGGAATTATAATATCGACACCTTAACACTGACTGTGGCAATAGTTGGGCAATGAGATCTTAAGGGATGATGAAATTTGACCCACATTTACAAGAATGCTGTACTAGAATGTGTGTGGCTAGTGCCAGATGACCTGGAACTTGCTTCCATTTCTACAGGACTTGCTTAACTACTGAATTTTTTTTAAGTCTAATTCGCTAATTAGTAAAATCAAGGGGAAAAAAAAGAAAAACTTCAGGGCTTATCTTAGATAAAACACTAACTTGGAAACTGTTCATGAGGAAAGATAGAGGGCGGGAGGAGAAGTGGATGACAGAAGATGAGATGGATGGCAGCACTGACTCAATGGATATGAGTTGAGCAAACTCCGGGAGACAGTGAAGGACAGGGAAGCCTGGTGTGCTGCAGTCCATGGGGTCACAAAGAGTTGGACATGACTTAGAGACTGAACAAAAACAACAGTTTGGAAACATTCTCTAAAGTGTTCATGATAACTGGCACAGCTCTGTTTAAAAAGAAAATGCATCTTAGCTTATATTTAATAAAATCTTTAAGATTTTTTTAGAACTTATTAAAAATATTATTATTAAGTTTAAGAGTTTTATTATCTTAGGAGTCTATTTTAATGTCTCTCCAATTTGAGTTTTTAGAATAAAAGATGTCTATTTCATCCTTGCTAAGGGCATGAACAGAATAAACAAAAACTCTGAAGAATGCTCTATAAACTTATAGCAAACCCACTCTCCTGTATCACTCTGGGATGCCTGATCATTGGGTAGAACCAGGTATTGGTCCAGTGAGTATTCATGTTTAATAATTAAGATAACTACTAATTTCCACTGCTATTCCTTTGCCATCTCATAAGGCATGCACTATTGGTCTCTTAGTATTTTGCTCTCATTGAGTGTGGAATGCAAATCATTATTTGTTGGTTACAGACCTTTACAATGCCCAGTGGCATTTGCCACCAATGACAGCAGTAACAGATGATGTTGAGCCAAAGCTACTGGAAGTACAATGCATAAAGTAAAATGATAATAAATAACTGTCACTCCATTACTAAACACTGCCTAAAATTGGTTCTAGTACATGTTTGATATAGCAGAGTCTGCATAATCCAAGTACCAAAAAGACATTCATTCCTTCATAACAGCTGCAAACAAAAAGGAATCAAACACTTGTCTTGTTCAGTGACCAGGAATTCTTCATTGAGCATGGCATGACTATTCAAATACTTCTCGACAGATTCTGACTTTGAAATCTTATGATACCTTTTCAAGTTAATGATTCTTGGGAAGTATGTCAAAAGATATATTCAGTCCAATAGACACAAAGTTCAGGAAATGCTATACTGAATGCAAAGTCTCAAATGGTCATAAGACTGAATTTATGAATATATTCAAAGTATAGGGATGTAATTATAAGAAATATGGGACTATTAGGGTATAAGATGCCTGGGAGAGAACATATCTAAATATGATCTTACCTCTGGTCAGGTGATACAGGTAAAGGACAGATTTAAACCATTTTCCTTCCCTAGTTATATAAACTTTAGATATGAGAACAGAATCTGTTGTCATAAACTTACAATATATATATTCAATAATAGGATGTTATTGGCGTTATCCACACTTATTACCCTTTATAGTCTTCCTCTTTTTTCAGACTGCTGCAGCACCCTTTATTCTTTCATTCCATGGATGACTTATCAGGTTTGTTGTGGTGGTGGTTCTCTGTGTGCTTGTTAGTAAATGATTCATTCTGCTATTTGTCCTAAGTAAACTGTCATGTGGTAATCACCACAGTTCTTAATGTGAAAACAATCCATTTACTGGACAAGTTATATTAATCTGAGTCTCAGTGATCTTACCTAGTGCAATTGGGATAATAATAAAAATACCGCATAGTCAATGTGGTAGCTAAATAAACTGTATGTTAAGTGAGTATCTTTCCTTATTTTACGCTAAAAGCAGAGACTAGGAATGGAAGTTAGTTTATTTTGGGAATAGATCTTAAGGAATAGAACCAGGAGCCTAAGAAAGAATCAGGAAAGAAAGAAGAGGCAAACCAAAGATACACTATCAAGTTGCTCATTGCTGCTGGGATTAGCTTGATCCCCTGGGAAACTTTTAGGGGCCTGTGGAAAATTCACTTCTCACTGGTCCATCCAAGGAATGGAAGAGTGGTGGTCAAGAGTTGTTCTGTGGGATGTTAAGCGTCTCACCTAAGCTTGTGTATGTATTAGACTATCTTAGCAGCTTCCTGAGGGGTTGCGCATAGTAATGGCAGGAACGTTGGCCTCACAGGAAAGTATGCCTGTGAGATAAACAAATCAGAGAGTGGCCGGGTTGAATATAATGTGGCTTCTAGCAGATTTGATGGTGACAGACCTGTCTTTTTCTAGATATTGGTGAGGGTATAACCCATAGGCATTCCAAATGAACCAACTGTCAGGAAACTGTCCACAATGGAACATAGATCTAGGATTCAGAGCTCTTTCAGGGTGACTGCCACAAGGTGAGAAGCAGAGGCTTCTATGAAAGACACTTAAGATCTGGGACCACAGGGATTTTCAGTTTTATAACCTACCATGGGCAAGTGGTCATCCAGTTGTCCCTTTTTCCAAGCACAAAAATATAAATAATAATAATGGTAATAAGAACCTTATCTCTTTGGCATATATTTTTAAAGTTTATAAAACACCCTCATATGCATTGTATTCTTTGAAGTTAGCAATGGTGCTGTGAGAAGTTGCAGTGTTATTCTCATTTTTTCAGATGAAGAAATTTAAAGTTTCTAAATTATAAGGGTCTTATCCAAAGGTTTTATTATTCACATGTGATAAGCCAGAATATGAACTATGACATGTCTATACTAATCCCAGCATCCTGAAAGGTGCTGCCTTTACATTAAGAAAATCCCCTCCTATCAGTTATTTTGTAAGCACATACCCTCCACCTCAGGGGATCCACCTCCACAGGCTCAGCAGCAGCCCAAGTGAATCAATCATTCACTTTACTGAGAGCATGGGCAAGGTTACCACCGCCAACATTAATTTCCAAACTCACTGCCCTTTTTCAAATATGATCTCTTACTGAGAATGTCTACCAGGCTGAAGGAAACTAACTCCAGGTGCTGTGTGTCCCCAGATAGTTCCCAACACAAACTGGCTGCTATAGGACTGATAAATAATCAGCAAGAAATGGAAACTCAAGAAAACCAACATTTCTAATGAAACACAGGTACTGTGACTGACATATACCAGTTCTAGGCTATCTGAATATTTGAAAACATGCGACCTTCTCTTTTAGGTCCTGCTGTGCATCTTGTGCTTCCCAGGTGGCGCTAGTGGTAAAGAACCTGCCTGCTAATGCAGGAGTTGTAAGAGACAAGGGTTCAATCCCTGGGGTGGGAAGATCCCCTGGAGGAGGGCATGGCAATTCACTCTTGCATTCTTGCCTGGAGAATCCCATGGACAGAGAAGTTTGGCAGGCTATAGTCCATAGGGTTGCACAGAATTGGACATGACTGAAGTGACTTAGCACATACATCTATCTTGTGGGATCTTGGTTCCCCAACCAGGGATCAAACTCATGCTCTTTGAAATGGAAGCACAGAGTTCTAACCACTGGACCTCCAGGGAATTCCCAACATGGGATGTTCTTAAATAAATCTGTTTCATACATCTCCAAATTTTGTGACATTGGATTTAATAATAGCAATAATCATAATGGTGCTAATTGCTGTAGTGATAACAATGACCCTGTTACTACCTAGTAAGTTCTCAATAACAATAAGTAATGATTGAGCACTTACTATGAGCTAGCTAGGCACTAGTTTAAGAATGCTTTTCATTAATTTAGTTGATTCCCACAGCAATCCTCATGTAGAGAATACTATTAGTACCCTCACTTTACAAATCAAGAGAGAGAGGTAGAGAAAGTCTAAGTGAGTTCCCCAGGAACCCAGCAAGGAAGTGGCTGATTCAGATGCATCCCCAGGGAGGCTCAGACACCATGTTATACTACTTGGCTTTAGACCTACATGCTATAGAGTCTGTTCTGCAGTTGCAAGTTATCAGTGGCTAGGAAATCAAGGTTCCACAAATTCCCAAGCAAAGTCAAACATCTCAGAGCATTTAAAAAACCGATTAACATCTTTGGAGGGACGTGTGTATGTGTGTGTGTGTGAATGTGTATGTGTTGTGAGGTGGGCAGAAGGAAGCATTGTAGAAAGGGAGAAAATAGAGGCATATTGCCTCAGAATTTGATTATTTTCCCCTAGAACTTCAGGGTATATTTACAACTTCATGGATTCTCTTTTTCAGTCTAAACAAACAGGTACACGTTTCACTTTGATATTCCCATGGCTACTATAATGACCACAAGTGGCATGGGGTGAGTCATTGCCTAGTGAGAAATGGCTTCACTGAGAGCTCTCAAGGCAGAAGAACTCATTCCCCTCACAATGCTGCCCAGCATCCTGAGACTTCTGTCTCTGGGCTTTACAGAAGCAGCTCTAGATCCAGGGGTCCCACCTGGAGCACTTCCCGGAGTGATAAGGAGAGGGCCCAGCACACAGCTCTCCCCTCAGGGAAGTGACTCACCCGGTCAGTTTTCCCTTCAGTCTGAATGCTGGTGTGACTGCGGACCTCATGATCCTCTTCCAGGTCAGAAACATCCTCTAGTTCTTCTGGAGTCTATAAAAAGAAAGCAACACGCTGTTGTTGGAAATGCAAAATGGTACTGCGGTAGTACCTCAGTAAGCACAGAGTTACCAATATGACCCAGCAACTCCTCTCCTAAGTACTTACATGAGCAGCTCTTTGCCAGGAAACTGCCCTCAGCAGGAGGGCTTCACTAGTGGCTCAATGGTAAAGAATTTGCCTGCAATCCTGGAGACCAGGGCACAATCCCTGGGTCAGGAAGATCCCTTGGAGAAGGGGATGGGAACCCACTCCATTATTCTTGCCTGGAGAATCCCATGGACAGAGAAGCTCCTTTTCTTGTCACTTTAGCAAAGCCATACTGTAACTAAAATTTAAGCCAGGCACTCCCAAGCTTACTCATCTCCCCCGCAAGCACACCTTTCAGATCTTTTAATCAAACAATATATTGCCTAACTTGTCAGTTCTTTCCATAGATTATAGTGGCAGAAATGAAGAATAAGCAACTAACAGATGACCAAATCTTTTCCCTAGTTTCCCATCCAGCAATCTCATGCCCAAACTGTGTGAATAAGATAGTACCTAGAGGAATATCACAAGAATTCACTGAGCCTGCATAGAGGGGGATGGTGATGACCTTGACCTCCATCTCAATGATTAACTGAGATTACTTCCCTTCTTTCCTTTAAATGTTTTCATAATCCAGCAGAATCTTTGGACATGGTGTTTGGGGGACGTTGAGTCGACTATCTCCCTAGATCACCAGTAATTTGATTAAAGGAGACTTTTCTTTTTATAGGGCTTTCCTGGTGGCTCAGACGTTAAAGAATCTGCATATTGGTTTTGTAAGCAGTGGGAAGTAGGACCCAAGTCACTCAACAGTACATACCCAAGAGAAATGAAAACCATATTTCTACACAAAAAATTGTAAACAAGTATTCATAGCAACAGCAATCATAATGACCAAGAAACATATCTAGTGATGAATGAATAAACAAAACATGGTAAATCCCTACAAAGGAATATTACTTGACTTAAAAAGGAATGAAGTACTAATATATACTGCAACATGGTAAACTTTGAAAATATTATGCTAAGTGAAACAAGTCAATCACAAAATGCCACATATTATATGGTTCTATTTATTTGGAATTCAAGAGTAGCCAAATGTATAGAGATAGAGATTTGATTAGTGGTTCCTGAAGCAGAGAGTGGAAGAAGAGGTTGGGAGTCATAACTTCTAATGGGTATGTGGTTTCATACCCATTGGGATATAAAATGGCATGGCATTTCATGGGATGGTATTGGTATGAAATGGGATGGCAACAATGTTCTACAATCTGAAGTGGTAATGATCACACACTCTTGTGAATATTTAAAATACTTTAAATGATGATGTCTATAGTATATTAATTATGTCCCAATAAAGTCTGAAAGAAAAAGAAAGCAAAAATGATCAGAAGGATGTTTTTCTCTGAGTAGCAATTTGTAACCACTATGTGGCTACCACACATCAAGGTGTTTACAGGTGACAAATAAATGGAATAACCATTATTAAAACCATATGATATCAAAACACAAGAAAATTGAGAAATTAAATTTTCTTAGAACTCAATAATTTAACATGAACTTTAGGGTTTAGTCTACATAGTTAACCTACTTCCATTGCTTTGTTTTTTTTCCCCCAATTTCAGCTTAAACATCTTTTATTCAGGGAAGTGTCTTGCTTACAAATCCCATAGATTGGCTTGAGTTCCTCTGCCAAGCATTTCCTTATGCTCTCTACTTTCACTATATAATGCTCATCAGACTTTATTTTATCATAGGTTGTTGAATTGGGAAGTAAACTGTTGAACTATCTGTTCTTTGAGGTAAGGACTCAGCCTGCTCTGCCTTCTACCATCTCACCACAACCCAGCACATACATGGTTTTAAATGAATGAAGAAAAATTAACAGTGATAGGCCAAAATCTAGTTGGATATGAGCAAAACAAAACATATCAACAGCAACAACAAACATCTGTCCTCACTGTATCTCTATTGTGATTCTATCTTCCTATATTTCAAACTAATTTTTTAATCTGTTTTTTGTTGTTTTTCTCAGTTCCAGGTTACCATTCCCTGAAGTCCCTCTGTGGCAATCATTTAATGATACCAGTCATTAATGCAAATACAAGTACTGCACAGCAAAATCGTTATTACAAATATAAAGTACTTAATGAGAATTAATTTAGTATTAAAGTTTACACAGTCTCAGTTTTAAACTATGATTCCTTTGCTACAAAGCTCTGGTAAGAAATCCAGAATATAAACATTTAGGTTTCATGACAAACATCCCAAAGTGAAAATGGAAGGTCTCCTGTATATTTATATACACATAGCTGTTGAAGACGGGAAAGGGTCAGGACCTACCTCCTCAGAATAGCTCTGGTTTCGCTCAAACCTTGCTCTACATCCAGGCCCTTCACTTACTTTCATGGTTGTGAAGAGCATTCATTCCACTGGGGCCACTCCAGGCATGGGAACTTAAAACTGTTAGCTCACACTGTGGCGCAAAACTACCAATCTCCTAAACACTTATGGCTTCATATTCTTTCTCAGCTCATAGATCTTTAACCAGCACTATTTTGTTCTCCAACACTTGCACTGAGCATCTCCTATCACTCTGCATTAATTTCAACCAACTTATTAGATATTAATATCTTCCCCCTCACCAAGGCGCCCAGTGTTCTGAGTAGTTATCTATATGTTGATCTCTACATGCAGTCCTTCTTTGCTGCAACTACCTGCAGCTATGATCACAGGAAATTTATTTTTCTTCTTAAGTAATAACAGCATGAGTTCACTATGAGGGAATTTCTATACAATCACATATTTCATTATTAGCTATTTTTTGTGTATTCTTCCCTAGTATTCTTCAGAAAGGCTTTTTATAATTTTTTTCTCTTGATTTATCACCAGCCCCTATAATGTATGAATAAACTCAATTGATCAAATTCCCTTTCTTGAGTCCTGTTATTTTGCAGCTGCAAGCTGTCTGGGGTCCCTACTGTGATCTGTTTTTTATAAATGTCTTTGTTTATTACTCGGGCTATATTCTATTATATAACCCAAGTTCTATGGTGAGACAGAGCTTCGTCACCAATCCCAGTACTTTGTGCAATTCAAAAATAAAGTGACCTAACAGAAATTAAGAACTGCTCCTCAGAAATCACAAGTACCATTTTTGTTAGTGATACTGCAGGAAGTGATAAGCCTACCATTTACGCCCACATACTTGTGTACTTTTCTTTAACAGGGGACTGATCGTGTTCTTGCAAAACCACCACAACTGACTTCTCCTTATCATGAAAAAAAAAAAGTGGGGGAGTGTTCAAAACACTTGCTGGTAGCATTTTGCATTCCGTAAGGCAAGCAGCTGGATGATATTTTAAAAAATAAACAGTTATGTATACAGTGTTATAGTTTAAATGGAAACTAAGAAAGAAATAGGAGCACTTAATCATTTAGGGGATATATATGAACTTCAGTTTGAAGAAAAATAATAATAGAAAGGGTAAACATTTTAAAAAGGAAGAATGGAGGTTTGGCAGCCCTATATTGTACACTCCTAGAAACAGCTTGCTTCGTTTTTATTTATTTAGTCACTTTGGAAGTTTAAACTTCTGGAAGGTTTGTGTATGTGTGTGTAACTTGTGCATGTTTCCAGTCAATTTCCATCCTGTGTAAAGGAAAACCAACTATCTTAGATCAGTGTCAAGTAGGAGAAAGACCATAAACTGTTGAGCAATGCAGACCTGAATTTGAATTCTGCCTCTCCAGTTAGCTTGTTGGGGAATAGATGCCTCCTCTTAAACTTTTGTTTCTTCAGAACACAATTTTGGATAATGAGACGTAGTCCTGAAGACTGTTTTGAGATCCAGTTGTACTAAGATGTTTAAACAAGTGCTTAGCCCGCAGACATAGCTGGGGTGCAACAAGGGTTGCTTCTTTCTGTCTGCTATTTGTGCTCTTCTTTCTTCACAAACTTATCCCTCATCCTATCAAACCCTTTATATTTTTTGATAAAACTTCTGTGGCATTTTGGATACCTCCATTTTACTTCACATCTGTTACTCTGGATTGACACAATACTTATCGCTAACTCTAGTTACACTTTCCTGATTTTGAATACACAATGTCATTGTGCTAACAGAGTTTAGTGTAATTACACATACACTGATTTCTTCTAAATTTCAAGTAAAGATCACGTTTGATCCTATCTTAATTATGTGTAAGAGTAAGATATTCTCTTAAACTGGCCCTAGCAAAGATACACTCTTCACGTTCTCAAGGGTGAGAGAAATAACTTTCCTTCTCTAAGCTGAACTGTCTTTAAACCAGACCCATAGGAAGATAACCTATTTTATTGTGTAAAGTGATAATAAATTCTATTACTCAATTATTTCTCTTATAAAAATTCAGGATAACTATTCCATAGTTTTCTAACTCTTGCTTATTGTGAACCCTTCTTTAGGCAACCCAAAGTGACTTGAAATAAGCTAAGTTTCCTCATCTTAAAATGGAAAAAAATATTACCGAATTCTTAGGGTTATTGTGAAGATAAAATAACATGATGGACTAGAACATAATTCAGTTTCTAGAAAATACTGAATGTTCAATATTGTTTATGATTATTATAAATTATTATTGTAGTACTTTAAGATCTCACTTTGTTTATATAAAGGAGTCCAGAAACAAGTACAGTCAGACTTGAAAATAGGCTGAGGTTTTCATACAGAAACTGAGTGTGCAATAAGCAGTAGTGGTACATTAAACTTCAAGGACACAATCAATTGGTGTTATGAGTGTATGTGAATGTATATACATATGTGTGTGTATATATAAGCTTAAATATGTATTTATTTATTCAGGTACATAATGACTGCATTCATATTCTTCCTCTTCCTCCACACCAAGGAGCTTAATGCTTTCTAAAGAGTTATAAATTCTTCCAGCATCCTTAGTGAAACAAGTAGGCAGTATTATTATACATTAAAATTCACTTGCTCAAGGCTACAAATGCTTAATTCTGAAGTACAAGAAAATAAATTTGTGGTCACTAAAACAACAAAAAATAAGGGAAGGATGAAAGCAAGGGCAAGAGGGAGAAGAGGTAGGAGGGAAGAGAAAGAAAGAGAGAAAAAGAAAAAAAAGTCTAAGAAATAGGAGTCATGCTCAGTATTTTCCTAAGATTTAAGGTTGAATTCTAAATCATATAGAGGATTTGATGGCAGTTCAAACTTCTCTGATTATCCCTCAAGGCCTTACTACAATCAAGTAACTGCCAGAGCAATGCCAGTATTGGTCTGACACTCGGAGAAGGAATGATGCTGCGGACAGCATTCTGAAAGAATCTGCAATAGCATGCTCAGTGAGATTATCTTAGCTGCGCTGATAACACAGAAGTGGAGAGAACAGAAGTCAAATACATTTTAAAATGAGGAAAATATACAATAACACAATTCAAATTATGGAAAGCAAAAATGAGTGCACACACGCATGCACACACATATGCATATACCCCCCCCACCCCGCATCCAAGAATTAATACTCTGTTCTTGGCATTATTGACAAGGTTTTTGATCCATTTTCTGAGCCTTGTTTTTTCTAGTTTCCAAGTCCTATAAATTATTTAAAGAGTCACATTTTAGAAAAAATGTAACCATCACATTTAACTGTCAAAAATTTCAAAATATTTCCAGAAAATGAAGTAAACAACATGTTGTGTATTACAGACTTTTTTTTTAAATGACAGACCCCTGGAATCAATCTTTGAGGGAGAGGCCCACTAACCTATAGCTTTATAAAATTGTACAAATGATCCTGTACGCAGTTCTTCATGAGAATTACTGGCCTTACATTAAATTTAATTTTTTGATTGGTTTAGGCTTTAGTTAAGTGTCACTGTAATATGGGTTGCAAGATGGCAGCATCAATAGTTTATCAAGGATTTTCCCTGTCACCTGAAATGCAGGCATTTGTATGCCTTCCATTGCTTGTTAATTAGAGGGTTAATTTATCACATACTTGGACAGATAATATGTAAGTTTTAAGATTTTTGGAGTTTATGCTTAAACTGAAAGCATAACATTTACATTAATCTGGAAGAAATGTTTCCTTTGCACTAAAAAGATCCTGATGCTGGGAAAGATTGAAGGCAAAAGGAGAAGGGGGTGGCAGAGGATGATATGGTGAGATAGCATCACCAACTCAATGGACATGAATTTGAGCAAACCCCAGGAGATAGTGGAAGACAGAGGAATCTGGCATGCTGCAGTCCATGGGGTCACAAAAAGTCAAACATGATTTAGTGGCTGAACAACAATAGCAAGGAGTACTCAATGGTAGGAGAGATTTGGAAAATCTGTCAAGTTCGGTTGATTCAAATATTTTTGTTTTCCAGTCACTAAGTTGTGTCTGGCTCTTTTGTGACCCAGTGGACTATAGCCTGCCAGGCTCCTCCATCCATGGGATTTCCCAGGCAAGAATACTGGAGTGGGTTGGCATTTCCTTCTCCAGGGGATCTTAACCCAGGAATTGAACCCATGTCTCCTGCATTAGCAGGTGGGTTCTTTACTGAGCCACTCCAATTCATCATAGCAGTTAGAAACATGGTTAACCTGATGAATACATGTATCTTCTCATTTTAACATAAAGTGAGAAGGCATCTATCATTGTTCTCAATTTTATAACCTAAATGTCTCACATAGTTTCTAGTGAAAAATAGGTGTGTGGAAAATATGTTTTTAATGAATGAATACATGGAAGAAAAATATACATAATAAAGAAGGGTAAAAATAAAGATATATTTCTCTATTTTCCAAATAGAGCATTGGTGAATTTTCTCCTTTTAACCTTTTGAAAAATAATTCAAAACTGCCTTTGGGTACCATTATTATCCCTCTTTGTTTCACAAACGATGTCTTTTTTCCTTTTCCAATGTTTAGAATATACCACTCTATGAATTATTTCATATGATGAAACTAAGATGCTTGGGCATTATACCCCTTAGTTCAGTTCAGTTCGGTTCAGTCACTCAGTCATGTCTGACTGTTTGTGACCCCATGGACTCCATGCAGCACACCAGGCTTCCCTGTCCATCACCAACTCCTGGAGCTTGCGCAAATTCATGCCCATCAAGTTGGTGATGCCATCCAACCATCTAATCCTCTGTTGTCCCCTTCTCCTCCTGCCTTCAATCTTTCCTAGCATCAGGGTCTTTTCCAATGAGTCAGTTCTTCTCATCATGTGGCCAAAGTACTGGAGCTTCAGCTTTAACATCAGTCCTTCCAATGAATACTCAAGACTGATTTCCTTTAGGGTTGACTTGTTTGATCTCCTTGCAGTCCAAGGGACTCTCAAGAGTCTTCTCCAACATATATCCCTTAAAGCTACAACAATTAAAATACATCTTGAGAAAGCTAAGACAGAATACA